AGAAAATAATGATATAATCAAGATGTTGAAGATATTCTACGCTACTTCAAAATAAAACATTAGGAAGGACACCCACCCCCCATCAATACTGGAAAGATCGATGTTAATGGACTTGAGAAACCTATTTTCCTGAAAAATTGCTTGAAGAGAAAGGTTTTAAATTTCACCTGTCAGTTGCACTGGCTGCCCGCCAATGAATGACGAATAAGAAACAAATTAATATTACCATGACATTGTTACTACTATGACTATTACTCAGCTTACCGATGCCGTAAAAATAAAGTCATATATGAATTTGATATTTCGTTTAGTCGTTACGAAAACAAGAACGCTTACACATGTGAAATTTGGAATATATTTTCCAATATGCTTCCACAGATTCGATCATTTTAGCGCCGGATTTCAGAAATATGTTTGCACTGTCGGCCATTGTCAGAGAAAAAAAACACTACTACTAATAGTGTCAAGTGCAGGGGAGATAAATCTACTTATCTCCCTTGAACTGAAAATATTTAACAGTTCAGTACACAATTCACCACACAAACAAATAAATTTGGTAAATGAAAATATTTCCAATTGTAAAATAGCAAACCAAGGAACAAACAAAATACAAAGACCTGGAAAAAAAAATGTGGAAATTGAAAAAACAAGAATAATACCAGTGGTAATAACTTGGAATTATAAAAATGGAACAAAACAACACATTGAAAGAATCCTGGAAACCCCAGCTTAAGAGACATACAGAAAATTGTCTTATTAAGTACAGCATTTAAGGAGAAATAACGCTAGCAACTTCATCGGAGAAAAAAAAAAAAAACACCCGTTCATGAAATTTATAACAACACACACGACCTGCCTTAGGTCTTTCCGCAGACTTGGTGGGTAGTGTGTCCATAGCAGAAATAATAATAATAATAATAATAATAATAATTTAAAACAATACATTAATGATAATTGACCAAAATTTTTTAAAATCTACGAATTATTTTCAATAATAACAAAAATGTAATGATAATTACCTCTATTTGAATATGTGTCACTACTTTCATGAATAATTTCGTTTGTTTTGATCGCGTGGAAAGAAGGTAAAAGACTGACTTAGTTTCAATACGAAAATGAAATAAAGAAAGAAAGAAAGAAAGAAAGAAAGAAAGAAAGAAAGAAAAATGAATGAAATAAGGAAAGGAAGAAGGAAAGATACAAGTGTTTAACGGCTGTTTCAGTGAAATGAAACAAATTTCTCAATTTCAAATGATTTTCATTTGTACCCACTTCTTAAAATAACGATCAACATTCATATTGATGATTGTTATTGCAATATTTTTTCCAAGTGAAACCTCAAATATTTAACGATGCGACAAGGAATTTCTACGGATACTTTATTGTCGTAAAACTCGCCATGAGTTTACTCAATGATTAAATTAAGTTTCAGCAGAATATCAAAACTGGAAAACCGTGAAATCTTTCCGGGTTAAGACTAGTTGTTATTATTATTATTATTATTATTATTATTATTATTATTATTATTATTATTATTATTATTTGTGTATGTTATGTTTTCTGCTTTGTATCCTGTAGAGCCGGGTTCAAACTATGGTCCTTAGTTTCTATAGAAGAATTGTCATTTAATTGATAGCACTTTTCCTATTATATGTGATGTTCCTAGTAGGGCGATCATCTGGCCAACCTGTATGTTGATGTTACCTGGAACACTGTTACTAAAATTGTTCATTCCTTTTCTCACGAAATCCAAAGTCCCGATTACTACTGGTACAGTTTCAGATTTCATTCCCGACATCCTGTTAATCTCGATCTCCAGGTCCTTATATTTGGACAATTTCTCGATAATTGGCATGGAGATGTTTTTCTCAAATCGTACTGCTGTGTTTTATTATTATTATTATTATTATTATTATTATTATTATTATTATTATTATTAAGGTTATCTTTATTAGACGAACTAATTTGAATTTGTTTCCTTCTTTCCTTCAATACCACTAACATCTTGCGTCTCAGTGGCTTTATCGCCTTGCTTGTGCTGGCATGATTATATATATATATATATATATATATATATATATATATATATATATAATCATGCCAACGCAACGCAAGGCGTTTATCTCTATTTTTTTATTTAAAGAAACCTTTTTATTTTACTTATTTTACGCTGGATATTATTATTATTATTATTATTATTATTATTATTTGGGTATGTTATGTTTCCTGCTTTGTATTCTGTAGAGCCGGGTCCAAACTATGATCCTTAGTTCCTATAGGAGACTTGTTATTTAATTGATAACACTTTTCCTAGTATATGGAATGTTTCTAGTAGAGCGATCTTCCGGCCAAATTGTATGTTGATATTTCCTAGGACACTGTTACTAAAATTGCCCGTTCCTTTTCTCACGAGGTCACGAGGTCCCGAGTTCCGATTCCTACTGGTACAGTTTCAGTGGAGTAATGGATAGCGGCTCGGATTGAGGAATCGGAAAGACATTAGATTCACTTACGTGCTGATACCCTTGGGAAAGGTATGAATCCTCTTCTTCTATGGGTAAATAGCAGGACAGACCGGGTTCTATAGCCTTTGCTGGCAACTAGTCTACCGCAGAAAGAAATAGTAACCTACTACGGGAAAAATCCGCCACATCAGTCATGTATCGAAAGATACATGATCGCCTGAGCGTCTATCACGCATGGCACATAACTGACTGACTGACTGGCAGTCTCAGTCTTCATTCTCCACATACTGTTAATCTCGATCTCCAGGTCCTCGTATTTGGACAATTTCTCGATAATTTTCATGGAGGTGTTTCTATATCAATAAGCATACACTGGCTGAATTTCTTGTCTTTTATGATAATATAAGGTTTGTTGGTTTTTAATTCCCTGCTAGTTTGAATTGGCATGTCCCAGAGGATAGTTACATCGTTATTTTGTGTAACTGTGTCAGTTTGGTGCTCATACCATCTCTCAGTGGTTTCGATTTGGTGCTTCTTATATATATTCCAGTGCACATGTGTCGCTACCTTGTTATGTCTCTGGGTATATTCATTTTTTGCCAGTTCCGGACATCCTGAGATAATATGATGGATAGTTTCATCATATTTTCCGCAGATCCTGCATTTCGGGTTAGTTCCATCCTTGATTATGTGACAGTGATAGGATCTGGTTGCGAGGCTTTGGTCCTGAGCTGCAATAATCAGGCCTTCCTTCTCGACTTTCAACCCGGTGCTTCACAACCCTGATGTTTCTGTTGGTCCACATATGCTTCATAAGTTCATTTTATGTATTTGCCATACGACGCCTTGGCGTCCCATTCTTTTTTTTTTTTTTTTTTTTTTTTGCAATTTCATTTGGCCTAGTTGTTTTGCTTTCACTTTTACTCGTTTAGGGTAGGTAGTATTCGCTTCGTTTTTGTTTGTTGTTTTTTTTTGTTTTTGTTTTTTTGTTTCTTTTTTTTTTTGTTTCTTTCTTTTGTTGGTAGGGTTTCAAATATATTAAGCCGTTATTATTATTATTATTACAAAATTAATGTGGCATAAATTCAGTCTTCAGGGATTATACACACAGACATACACAGAGATACTATGAGACATACACTCGAATTCAGCCACGCACATGTACGCGCGCGCACACACTCACCGGGGCTACAAAATATGAACACGTGATTTAATATACGCACAGAATCTATCGGTAATCATCGCACGCCTAACTATTAATTTGAAAGGCACACATACTAATTCTTATCGCTATAGTCTTCAGCGATTGTTGACACATACACGCAAGAACGCTCACTTGAATTCAGCCACATATACAGAAACTAAAACCACAAACACCTGGTATCTAGCGGACCAATGGAAATCAACAACGCAGAATTTGAAACACCGAAACATTTTCCCCATATTTCACCCAACAATTTCTGATGAAGCTACAATAAAGTTAGCGAAACATGTCAAATTTATAAACCTTTTCTTTCTTGTTCCTTATTTAATCATGTCATTGTTTTTTGTTTTATTTTGTTGTTTTTTTTTAATCAATTTTTCAACCCAAGCAAAACGACGACTTCATTAAAACGCAAGGGATTACTGCAAGTGAAAGAGAATGAGACGACTCTAGAAGCCACCGGAAACCCAATCCTGGACAGAAAACAAGGAATAAACCTCTACTCCTGTTCAAAAGATCAGAGATGAGTGTAAACCTGACGATAGGCGAACCTATCTACTCCTATTGAGTAGAAAAAAATTTTTAAAATAATTAGTAAATAAATTTCCACAGTTAGGCGAAGACGTTAGAATATAGTGCTGAAGTAGATTTTAGAAGGAAGCGAAAACCTAATCTTAAACAAGAAACAAGGTATAAAGCTTTATTCCTGTTCAAAAGACCGGAGACGAGTGTGAACCGGGCGATAGGTAGTTGCCGTTTTCATAATATTTTATTAAGTGTGAATTATAATTTAAGCATTTTTCAATGTGTTTATTTCAATTAATAATTGTCCACATAAAGAACTTGCATGTTACCTAAGAATTATTGGGAAATTTCACATCAAAGATTTATTGACTTGTAATCTACTAAGCCGTTAGTTGTTGAATCAAAATTTATTTATCATTATTTTCTCCAAATGGAAAGCGTCATTTTTTTTTTGGGGGGGGGAATGTCTGAAACGTATCTTTTGGATCACTTACTAAATCAGAAAAATTGTCTGACATTTTCATCGGTAAGGTAAATAGCAGTTTGGCAGCTAGGTCTCATTGTTTTACAGTTGAAACAGCTAGATGTAGCCGTAAGTTCTATGTTAACAGTTTCTTCTCTCGCACTTCTTTGCATGTGGAACTCTCTTCCGGGTTTATGCTTTCCACTCAACTTAGATCTTCAAAGGTTTGAATGCAATGTCAATCTTTATCTTTTGGCTTCTTGATTCCTGTTCTTTTATTGTTCTCAATAATAGGCTTACGGCCACATCACGTTAAACAACAGTTTTCTTTGGACTTTGGGGGCTTACAGTACCAGGTGTTCCCAAGCGGTCCCCCATCTAAGTACTGACCTGGCTCTACGATGCTTAACTTCGGTGATCGAACGAGAACCGGTGTTTTCAGCGTGATTTGACCGTGATTTGACAGTCGGTGGTGGTGGGGGGGTGTAAACGGTAGTGTCAGAGCTATGCCGCCCGGAACTTCGTTCCTGGTAGGGCCACCCAAGGCGGACAGGTCTGACACACACACGCCGGCTAACAAGGGCTCTGGTGAAAATCCAAGGAGCGTCTGCATCGGTAACCGGCGGATTCTGGTCGTTCCTGTCTCTGCGTCTGTGGGAACCCCGCGGCAAGCAAGAACGTTATCCGAGGCCTGGGTACCCTACTTCTGTAATTTATCCCAAGAATATTCTTCTCATAACATGAAGAAGCCGGCTCAACCCACCCAGGGTGAATGCCGCATCAGTACAGTACAGTAAACAACAGTTTTCGTACGATCACGGAAGTTAAGCAACATTAATTATGGTCAGTACCTAGATGAGTGACTACTTGAAAGTACCAGGTGCTGCAAGATTGCATGAGTGGCTTGGAATTGTTAATCAGAAAGCCGAATACCAATTCCATTAGGGTTGGTTCTATTCACTTACGCGCAAATACGCATGGAGAAAGGTATGAATCAGCCTCTTCTTCCCAAGCTATAGGTTAATTAGTAAGATTTACATCACTAAATCCTTATTAAACTCAAAAAAAAATATTACAATAGAAAAATATATTTCCGGCTTTAAATAAACAGGAAAGGGTTAGGGTGGACGTGGGTACAACAGCAATTAAGAGGTGGATCCTCAAAACCTCCAATTTGCCGATCAAAGGCCTTGTCACCTAGATTGGGAATATCAGGTGCTGTAACATGTGCAATTGTTAACAAACATGAAATGTTATTGGTCCTGAGCTGGCATATCGGCTTCAATTATTTTCCCATAACCGTAATGTAGCCCCTCTGTGCCTTTTCTATAGATACTTTCATGGTAATTGTTCTTATGAGTTTTGTTAAGATAGACTATAAATTTAAGCTCAGTACTAGATTGTCGACAAGGCCTCATCATTTTACAGTTGAAACGGCTAGATGTAGCTGTAGGTTCTATGCTAACAGTTTCTTCTATCGCATTTTTCACTTGTAGAACTCTCTTCCGGTCTCTTGCTTTCTAGTCAACTTTGATCTTCAAAAATTTAAATGCAATTTCAATCGTTATCTTTTGTCTTCTTAATTCCTGTTCTTTATTGTTCTCACTCCTTAATATTTTTTTTCTCTTATTATTTCACACTCAAAAAGCCCTTCCATTTTAATCGATATATAGCCTTACTTGGGATGAAATTATCAAAAGAAAATAAAGTTCAAAAGCGTAACCTGTAACAGAGAAGCGCCTGTATTGTCACATTATGCCGCAGCGTCTCATCAGTTGTAAACATCGTCAAAAAACATGTGGAAATTTATTTTATAATTTGTTTATAAATCTACGATGATGACTAACATTGAACCTCCAATTTCTTGATCAAAGTCCTTGTCACCTAGATTGTTGGCCGCTTGGGAATATCAAGGGTTGCAACCTTTTGATGAGCAGTTGTTAACAAACATAAAATGTTATTGTTCCTGTCCTGGCATCTCAGCTTCAATCACTTTCCCATTGCCGTAACATAGCTTCTCTCTGTCTTTTCTATAAATATTTTCATGGTAATTGTTCTGATGAACTTTCCGCTATGGTACCTAGACCTTATGAATTTAAGCGAGGTACAAGATTGGAGGCAAGGTCTCATCATTTTACAGTTGGAATGGCTACATGTAGCTGTAAGTTCTATGCTAACAGTTTCTTCTCTAGCACTTCTTGCATGTGGACCTCTCTTCCGGCCTCTTGGTTTCTAGTCAACTTTGATCAAAAATTTAAATGCAATTTCAATCGTTATCTTTTGCCTTCTTAATTTTTGTTCTTTTATTGTTCTCTCCCCTTAATAATTGGCTTACGGCCACATCACGTTAAAATAACAGCTTTCGTACGATCACGGAAGTTAAGCAACGTTAAATGTGGTTAGTATCTAGAAGAGTGACTACTTGAAAATGCCAGGTACGGTAAGATTGGACAAGTAGCTTGGAAATGTTAATCGGAGAACCAAATTCCAATTCCATTGGGGTTAGTTATATTCGCAAATATACATGGCAACGTTATGAATGCACCTCTTCTCTTTCGGCTTCTTTTATTGCTCTCTCTCTCTCCTTAATATTGTTTCTCTCTCTCTCTCTCTTTTCTCTCTCTTAATTTCTATTTTCTTCTCTCTTCTCTCTCTCTCTCTCTCTCTCTCTCTCTCTCTCTCTCTCTTATTCTTTCACACTCAGTAACCGTTTGCGTTTTAAGCGCTATATAGCCTTGCTTGGGATGAAATTATCAAAAGAAAATAAAGTTCAATAGTGTAGCCTGTAACAGAGAAGTTTCTGTATTGTCACGTTATGCCGCCATGTTATATTGTTGACAAGGCCTCATCATTTTACAGTTGAAACGACTAGATGTAGCTGTAAGTTCTATGCTAACAGTTTATTCTATCGCACTTCTCGCTTGTGGAACTCTCTTTCGGTCTCTTGCTTTCTAGTCAACTTTGATCTTCAAAAATTTAAATGCAATTTCAATCGTTATTCCTGTACTCTCTCCTTAATATTGTTTCTCTCTCTCTCTCTCTCTCTCTCTCTCTCTCTCTCTCTCTCTCTCTCTCTCTCTTTCACACACTCAGTAACCGATTTGCTTTTTAATCGCTATATAGCCTTGCTTGGAATTATATTATCAAAAGAAAATAAAGTTCGAAATTGTAACCTGTAACAGAGAAGTTCTTGTATTGTTACATTATGCCGCAGCGACTCATCAGTCGTAAACATCGTCAAAAAACACTCTCTGGAAATTTATTTTATAATTTCTTTATAAATCTACGATGATGACCGACAATGAACCGAAAAAGGTGAAAGTGAAAACATTTCAGTATTTAAAAAAATCAACGGTTTAATTAACAGCTGGCGCCATTTTGTCTCCGGTAGAATTCTCGCCTTTTGGTTCCGCCAGAGGGTGCTTCTTGTAGATTATATTAGTAAAGAATTTCTTGCCACCGCCTTTCGCGTTCATCAGTTTCTTCTGATTTCGTCGCTCTTTCTTTTCTCGCATCCACTCTTCCATTTGCACCATAGTCTGCGGCAACTGCTTGTTATGGGTTTCAGGCAACATAAAGAATAATGAACAAGCAATCAAACAACCGCCACCAAATATCAACCCGGGGGCCCAGGGAGCATAAATGATCTGAAAAAGAAAATAAAAAAAAATAAAAATAAAATGGACGTCGCCTTAGCTGATTCGGCCACAGAATCCATAAATCGGCAGACATATAATTACATTTTTATCATTTACTTATTCACTTCAGATTCTGTCTATATCTCTGCGATAAGGTATTATGATTATTTACATTATTCGGACAGTTATCTTCATTGCCATATTCACAACGTTTTGGTCGTTGTACGCTTCTGCCTTCTTCAGGTGATTGGAATTTCGAGTCGAACCCTTTATTTCGTCCACCGGGGTAGATTGTTCTAGTTCCACATGTCATGCCTCTTCCGGATGTCTCAGTTATTTCCTTTAACTCAATTATTCTCCAAGTTTTTTGCTTCACAACTGCTGTAGTCGGGTATTGAACTCACAAATCTTTGGGTCTAGTCACTGGATCTAACCAACGTCTTTATCCACTGGGCCATGTGGTGAACAAAAAACTTGGAGAGCTGATTTATCAAAGGGAATTAGAATAATTTACCCTAGTGAACGAAATAAGGACTTAGATTCAAAATTCAAATTACTATCACCTGGAGACTGCCGGGGTGTACACCGGCCGAAATGTCGTGAATACGACAACAAAGATGAGGACAACAGTACGAACATCTCAGAAAATATTAGACAGATTCTGAAGAAGGCCGGAGCGTATAACTGGCGAAACGTCGTTAATATGACAATGAAGATGGTGATAACAGTACGAATAATGTAAATAGTGTAAATAGTTACAATACCTCATTTCAGAAATATAGACGTATCCTGAGGAAGGCCGGGTCGTACAACGGACGAAACGTCGTGAATATGACAATGAAGATGAGGACAAAAGTACGAACAATGCAAATAGTGTAAATGGCTATAATACGTCATCTCAGAAATATGAGTCAATTATGTGCTATGTGTGATACCCGTTTAGGCGATCATGTATCTTTCGATACATGACTGACGAGGCACATTTTTTCTGAAGTAAGTTGTTATTTCTTTTTGCGGTAGACCAGTGGCCATCCCGGTCTGTCCTGCTATTTATCCATAGCTGGAAGAAGAGGATTCATACCTTTCCCATGGGTATTAGCACGTAAGTGAATGTAAAGGATTCGACTGGAATTCGAACTCGGCTCAACCCGAGCCACTATCCATTTACTCCACCTTGCCTCCTCAGAAATATAGATAATTTTCTAAAGTTATTTTAGAATAATTTGGCAACCTCGAAATAAGTAATGACAGTAGTAAGAGTTTTAATTTATCTGAATACTTGCATAAAATAGTATCGTTATTGCATCTTACATCTGTTTATAATGTGCTAACTCGATATACATATCGAAATTGAAATAGTTGATATGAAAATCGAGTTTTATTGGTAGCTACATCTTTATTCTCTGTTTTTATTTCTTCACATTTGACCATGGCATCGTTTCAGGATACTTACCAAAATTCGAGTGTAGGAGGACAACATACTTCCTATTCTGGCAACTGCAGACGCCAGCCCCATGGAGGCACTTCTGCAAATAAAAGACGGTAAATTATTGGAAGAGATTCAGTTTAGCTGCCCTCTATTATTTGAGAAACATCGAAAGTTATAAAATCCGTAGAGAAAACCACCAAATCAGGTTTTGCTGACCAGATAGATAAATACATATGAACAGACTAACATAGATATGAACAGACGAAGATAGATAGATAGATAGATAGATAGATAGATAGATAGATAGATAGATAGATAGATAGATATGTACAGACTAGCGTAGATAGATAGATATGAACAGATTAAGATAGATACGAACATACTAAGAT